TTCCACTTGTCCCCACACCTAGCAACCACTGACCTGCCTTCTTTCACTCTGGATTAGCTTATATTTTCTAAAGTCTTATTTGGATAGAAGTAGTATGCACTCTTTTTTGCTCTAGTGTCTTTCACTCAGCAAAATTATTATTATGAGATTCATTAGTGGTCTGTATTAATAGTTTTTTCCCTTTTATTCCTGAGTAGTATGCTATTTAGTTGACGTACCATAGTTTGCTTATTAGTTTACATGTTAATGGATATTTGTGCTACTTCCAGTTTTGGGTTGTTACAAGGAAAGCTGCTGTCGACATTGATGTGCAAGTTGTTTATGGGCATATACTTTGGTTTTGGGAGTAAATCTAGGAATGGGATGGCTTGATCATAATGGCAGGTATATGTTTAACTTTTTAAGAGAATGCCAAACTGTTTTCCAAAGTTGTGGTGTCATCTTGCATTTCCTAGCAGTGTGTGGAAGTGTCAGTTCCTCTCTATTCTCACCAACATTTGGTATGGTCATTGTTTAGCCATTCTAGTAGACATCTCTGGTTTTAATTCACATTTCTCTAGTGACTAACAGTATTAAGCATCTCATCACCTGCTTCTTCACCATTGTATATCTTCAGGAAATACCTTTTCAAATTTTATGCCCATTTAAAAAATTGTTTTTAATTAAATTTTGAGTTGTTAATATTCCAGGAATAAGTCCTTTATCAAATATGAGATGTGCGAGGCCCAGTATATGGCTTGTCTTTTTGTTATCTTAACAAAGAGCAGTTTTTGGTTTTGATGAAGTCTAAATGATCAGATTTTTCTTTTATGCATCGTGCTTCTGGTGTCATGTCTAAGGAACCTTCGCCTAATTAACTCAAGGTCACAAAGATATTCTCCTGTGTTTTCTTCTACGTTTATAGCTTTATGTTTAGATTCATGGTTCCAGTTTGAGTTAATTTTTGTATATAGTACAAATATGGATCAAAGTTCATTTTTTTGCATATGGATATCAAATTGTTTTGACTCCATTCATTGAAAGAAGTATCCTTTCTCCACTGAATTGTCTTTGTACCTTTGTCAAAAATCAGTTGTGTGAATGTGTATGGATCTATTTCTGAACTCTGTTCTGTTCTATCGATCTACTTGCATATCTTTACATAAGCACTGCACTACCACGATTACCGTCCCTTCACAGTAAGTCTTGAAATCAGGTAGTATTAGTCCTTCAGCTTTATCAAGATTGTCTTGGCTGTTCTCCATCCTTTGAATTTCCATATGAACTTAAGAATCAGTTTGTCAATTAGGATTTTGATTGGGATTCTCTTGAATTTATAGATCAATTTGAGAGAACTGACATCTAAATAAATTGAATCTTCCTCCCTGTGAACAAGGTATACCTCTTCATTTATGTAGGTTTTCTTTAGTTTCCTTCAACAATGTTTTGTAGTTTTTAGCGTACAAGTCTTACACATCTTTTGTCAGATTTATCCTTAAGTATTTCATATTCAATTTCAAGGTCTGATTATTTGTTGCTGGTGTATAGAAATATAGTTAATTTTTGTTGACCTTGTATTTTGCAACCTTGCTAAACTTAAAGAATTCTAGTATCTTTTAAGTTTCTTCAGATTTTTTTGTGTACGTGATGGTGACATCTGTAAAATAAAGACAGTTTTACTTTTTCCTTACCTATCTGGATGCCTTTTATTTCTTTTTTTTTCATACTTATCGCACTGGGAAGACACTTCAGTAAAATGTTGAGTGGAAGTGGTGAGAACAGGCATTCTTGTTTGTTCCCACTCTTAGGGGGAAAGCATTCGGACTTTGGTTGGTTAGTATGCTGTTGTGGGTTTTTCCAGTACGGTCTTTATAAGATTGAAGAAGATTCCTTCTTTCTATAGTTTGCTAAGATTTTTTTTTAATCAAGATTGGATGTGAGATTTTGCTAAATGCTTCTTTTTGCATCCACTGGAATGATCAAAAGATTTTTTTTTTAGTGTGTCAATATGGTGGATTTTCATTGATTTTCAAATGTTAAACAAATCTTGCATTTTTCGGACTAAATCTTACTTGGTCAGGATATACTGTCCTTTTTATATATTATAATAGTCAATTTGCTAAAATTTTGCTTAGAATTTTTTCATTTATGTTTATGAGGGATATAGGTCTTTCTTCTTGTAGTGTCTTTGTCTTGTCTTGGTATCAGGGTAACGCTGACCTCATAGAACAAGTTGAAAAGTGCTTTCCTATTTTTCAGACCAGTTTGTATCAGAATTGGCTTTTTTTTCATAAGCAGTTAGTAGAGTTCCCCAGTGAAGCTGACTGGGCCTGTAGTTCTCTTTGTGGGAAGATTTTTTAGCTACAGATTTAATTTCTTTGATAGATACAGGGCTGTTCAGGTTATCTGTTTCTTCTTGAGTGAGTTTTGACAGTTTGTGTTTTTCAGGGAATTACAGCTACGTTGTCAAATATATTGCAAAAACTTTGTATGATATTCCCTTACTATCCTTTTAATATCTGTAAACTTTTGTAGTCGTTGCACCTGTCTTGTCCCCAGTATCGGTGATTTCTGTTTTCTCTCTCTTTACTGGTCAGTCTGATCAGAGGTGTATCACTTTTGTTGGTCTTCTCAGTGAACTAGTGTTTGGTTTCATTGATGTGCTGTTTTTCTGTATCCCGCTTCCGGGATTTCTGCTCTGATTTTATTATTTTCTTTTGTCTTACTTTACATTTAATTTTCTCTCCTTTTTCTGGTTTCTTAGGGTGGAGGCTGAGGTAATTTACTTGAGGCCTATTTTCTTTTTTTTCCATAGACGTTTAATGTTGTAAATTTACTGCTAAGTCCTGCTTTAGTGGCATTCTTCAAATTTTGATGTGTTGTTTTCATTTTTATTCAATTTAAAGTATTTTGTAATTTCTCTTTTGATTTCTTCTTTGACCCATAGGTTGTTGAGATGTATGTTTAATTTCTAAGTATTTGGTGATTTTCCCGAGATTTTTCTGTGTGGCTTGAATCCCTTTAGATTTATTGTGACTCGTTTTATAGCCCAGAATATGGTCAACCTTGGCAGATGTCCTACGTGCCCCTGAGAACAAATATGTATCCTGCTGTTGTTGGGTGGAGGGTTCTGCAAGTATCAGATCCAGTTGGTTGAAGATGGTGTTTGCTTTTTCCATAGCCTTGCTGATTTTCTGTGTACCAGGTCTGTTGATTACTGAAAGGAATGTTGAAGGTTTCCAACTCTAATTGTGGATTTGTGTCTTTCTCTTTTCAGTTCTGTCGGCGTGTACTTCCTGTGTGTTGAAACTCTGCTATCTGTCACACACAGTCAGGGTTGTTGTGTCTTCTTGGTGAACTCATCACTATGTAGTGTTTCTTTTTCCCCTGATAATTCTCTTTGCTCAGAAGTCTACTTTGTCTGATATTACTGTAGCCACTGGAACTGTCTTTTGATTGGTATTTTTGCGTGATACATGTTTTTCTGTCCTTTTAATTATTTTTACTAGATTGAGTTTCCCACTAGGCTTGTGAATGGTCACACGGCAAATTTTCTTTCAAGTTTTGAACCCTCTTTGTATGGAATTATACAAAATGCCATACTTTTTGTCATAACTTTCTTGCTGAATTTGTCCATTTTAAGTTTGTCTTTCCTACTTTCTATGAGAATCCCGCCTTTCATGCTGCACCACCGCTGTCAGATGTTTACTGCGGGCCTGACGGAGGGACGGCAGCCTCTGCGCAGGGTGCTGGGGCTGTAGCAACACGGCCCTTCCTAGGGCAGCTATCTGTTAGTGGAGCGAGACAGACTGTAAACAAGCGTGTGCTGTGTCAGAGGTGATAAAGTGCTGTGGGAGAGAAAAGCAAAGCGTAAGTAAGGGAGATAAGAGTGATGGCTGGGTGGGTGGGACAGAAGGCCTCTCTCACCAGTTGACTTTTGGACAGAGACGTGATGGAAGCGAGGGAGGAGCTGTGTGGAGGCGGGCGAAGACCGCTTCCGGCAGAGGCACAGTGAAGACCGAGGATGGGACTAGGCTTGAGAGAAGAGTGTGGCTGGAACAAAATGAGGGGTGTCAGAGGTCATCCTAGCCAGCTGGAACGGTGTAGAATTCTGAAATACTGCACTGAAAACTGTCCTTTAACAACACTGTAGTCCAAACTAAACAGGGCAAGGGAGGCTTATACTTTTAGAACTGAGCGGAGTGGGGGCAGGGCCCAGAGATGCTTCCTCCTGCGTGCCGTCCTCCGGCCGACTGCTGTGAAGTTGTTTTCCTTTTTTAAGACCAGGGAGCTGTATGAGGTGCCTGTCTGTACTAGTCTGGTCCGGGTGGATGAATATGAAATTCTTTCTCTTACCCAAAACTCAGGTAATTTTGTTGTTGTTTTCTGTCAGTTCTTGACCATGCAAGGTAGTCTTAGACAAGTCCCAGGCCTTTTCTTTTTCCTTGTTTGTGAAGTACGGCCGGTGGTTCCTTCTGTATCTCTTTGGTGCATTAAGTCACTTGTAAAATCCTTTGGAAAATTAGAAGATTAGTAGGTGTTTCCACACACAAAAAAATCAGCTAATTTAGAAAATTCGGGCTTTGCTGAATAGCAAATTCTGTTCTTGTACCATAATTTTACCATCTTTCTAGTATTTCCTACTGCATGTAATGTCACATTGCTTTTTTTCTACCACTGAGCTCGTTTGGGTCCAGGTTTTCACAAAAGTGTAAGGGGGAAGGCCGTCGCAAAGGGAGGTGGGCGCGCTGCGGCACTCGGGGTCAGCGGGTCCGCCGGCGGTTTCTGTTTTGACAGAGATGTGTTGTGTGTGTGTGTGGGGGGGTTGATGTCTTTATCTGGGGAGGAGTAAAGTGAAAACACTGATCAAAGTAGTGAAACTGCTGTGTTTCAGAATGCAGGATATTCACAAATTTTTATTTTGTTGCAGGTATTTCTTGGTGGATTTTTATACACCAACAACAACTGTTGACGGCATAATGGAGTATCTGTCTCGAGACACTGATGTGATTAGACCGAATATTGTAAAACACCCTCTGACTCAGGAAGTGAAAAAGTGTGAAGGGATCGTCCCAGTCCCACTTGAAGAGAAGCTGTATTCCACGAAGAGGAGGAAGTGAGAAGATTCGCCAGATCTTAGCCTTATATTTAATTCTCTTACTTTTGAGCACCGTGGATTAATAATTTACAAGCTTGACCTTTATATAAGAGGGTGCTGCAGGTGCCACTTGATTTTTCTGAGATATTTTTAGCTCTTGATCCTCGTTGCTGTGGGAAGTAGGGGCATGGCTTGCTTAGAGCCTCTTTGTGATATGTGGTCCCCGCAAGGCTTCCTCGATTCTGTTTCCTGAATGTAATTTGTCAGGACTTTTGTCCTGCAACAACACTAACACTATTTTGAAGAGCAAAGCTTATAAAAACTGCCTTGGGTTGCAAGCTAGTCATTCAGACTGTATACAACCATGCAAAATAAAATTTTAAGACCATCGTATTTTATGAGTAACTTTTGATCAGAGTGAAAGTGTGATTTTCAAAAACTTGGGGGGATGTGTTTTTGTCTCTTCATGTACCCCAGCGCTGGGCACTGTCGCCGGCCTCACAGCTCAGTCTGTCCAGAATGGCAGCAGTGTCTGGGAGTCAGGCTACCCGGTTACCAGCCCAAGTTCAAGACTTGGAGACGCTGGGGTGAGGGTGGGTGGGATGTGTCTGACCCTTGACTCCTGGGCAGTCGCTTTTCCCGTCTTCTCATGGTTGTCACTGTGGTGGGCGCCACCCTTGGTGCGGGACCTGAGTGTTCTGTGGCCATTGAGGTCTGGCCCTGTTTCCTGTCGTTCCTCTGCCTTCAGCACCTGCCTCCTCACTGTCCCTCAGCCCCGGCAGACCTGTTTTGGGGAAGTAGCCACCTTTGAGTTCTGCACCCCCTCCCTTCTTCCCACTCCCCTGATGAGTCGGAAGCCAGTTGCTGTTGAGTTGGGGGAGGCCACAGAGCCAGCGGCGCCAGTGCTTTGGCCAGTGGTGTGCTGAGTTCGTAATTTAGGGGGACTTGTAAGAAGATGCATCTTTCGTTTTGTTGTTTTGATTTGCTACTGATAGGTCTTTTTTTTTTTTTAACATGTTCTGCAAATAAGACAAGTTTTGAGAGTTTTCTGTCTTGGCGGGGCAGGAGTTGGGTTTGAGATGTTATAGTTTGAGACTGTATTTGGATATGACTTATGGTTATCATATTTAGCAAATGAAAGTGCAGAATGGTCAATTAAATTTGAATTTCAGATAAATAATGTCATTTTTTCACATAAATATGCTCCAAATATTGCATGAAATAATACGTGTAGCAAAAAATGATGCATTATTTGACATTCAGTTTTACCTGGGCATCCTGTGTTTAATGTAGTAACTTTAGTGTAACTCACATAAAAGAATAAGCAATACCAAGCCAGAGACTGCCAAACTGAGAAAGAAATGAAATCAGCATCCAGCATCCTGGATTTTCAGTTGACAGCAGCGGCAGCCCGGCAAGGCCGGAGACCATCGGGAGCTGCAGAAGAGAGCACAGCTGGCGTGCTCTAATTTGCCTCAGACCCTTATCCTCTCACACCAGGAAACTGATCTAGAAACTAACTGAAATTTCATTTCTGCTTAGCTCCAGATAATCTGCTCTGTGGGCCTGACTTGACACCACAGTCAGAGAATTCTCCTTTAGACAGTTCCATATGTGGTCTCTGCCCCAGGCCTGGGAAGCTGAGGACCCAGGGTCCCGGGCTGCCGGATGGCTTCCGTGGTGGGTGACGATGAGGCTTTTTCCTGGAATCGTCCCTGGCATCTCCTCCTCGGTCCCCTCAGAGTTGGTGAATTGGAAGAAATTGAGCAGCCTTTCCATCTTCCCCAAGCGGGGCCCCGCCCAGGGTGTCTGTCAGCAGCCCAGAGGATGAAAAGTGCCATTTACTAAGTCAAGCCTCTGGTTATGCTAATTTACACGCTCAGACCATGTTGAAATAGAAGAGGACTCAGAGATCTGGCTTCTACCACTTTTTAACGGTGGTGAGATGGAAGCACAGTCAGATGTGCAAGTCAGGTGCCCAGGAGCCAGGAGGAGCCCAGCCCAGCTGATCCAGGGCTTCCCTCTCTGTAACGCTGCCTGTCTCCACCCTAGATGGTCTGATTCCTCAACTTTGTTTATCTTAAGAGCCAGGACAGCATCCATCTTCAACTTCCTCCAGAGGCACAAGGCTATGAAAAGTCTCTTTGAAGAGCAGTAGTTCAGTAAAGAGGGTCATTAGGAACTGTGCACTGGAAATAAAAGGGATAAAGTGGAGATTATCTGGGAAAATATGCTACTTCCTGTTTCATTAGGAGTTTCCTGCAAGCGCAGGCTCTCAGCCAGGGCTGGCGGGAACACAGCCTCTTCTGTCAAATGGTTTGTGTCCTGATGTACTTTCACTCAGGTGCTATCTGGGGGAAGTTTTCCATTTTCCTTAAAGTATGTTACGTGTGTGCTGCAGGCTGTAGGCTGTGTTGCACACATTGAGGCTGTTACCTGATTTAGTCCTCTCAGCAGCTCTGTGAGGGAGTGTTACATCCCTCATAGCCGGATGTAATTTTGGCTGAAGAAACAGACTCAGAGATTTGCCCTTGACCCCACAACTACCAGGTGACAACTGGGACCTTGAACTAGGGACCCTGATGCCATGTGTTCTTTTCCATCCATAACACTGAGGTCTTTGTCTTCTGATAAACGAGGCACCTGGGTGTCAGGTGAGCCACTGCCGCCGGGGTAGTAGCAATTGTCCTCGTGGCCTGAGCGGTGCAGGCACTTTCTTTTCCTACACTTGCTCGTCCCGGGGAAATCAGTCGATGCTCTTGGGCTTCCCAGGTCACGGAGTGTTCGGAACCCTGTGGCACAGTTTAGAGCGTTAGGAAGGAGGCTGGCTAAGTAGGACAGCTGTGCGGTGTGCCAGTTCCCCTCCTTGGAAGCTCCTTGGACCAAATGAAGCCACTGTCCCTTCCCCCTGAGGCGCTGATTCATAGCTGGACCCTCAGCCACGAAGGGGTTCTTGCCCCCTTGCAGCCTGTCAGTTGCGGGTGTTTGAGTAGGGCCTGTGTGGGGGTTACCTCCAGGCTGCATGTTCGCCGTCAGAGCCAAGAGCATCAGATCCTCTTGCCCGGGGGTGGGGGGTGGTCAGAGGCGCTGTTTTGTCGGTCCGCTCTTTCAGTGGACGATTACGAGTGAAGTCCTGGAAGTGAGCAAAGTCCTAGGTCTGTGAGCAAAGATGGCCCCTGTCCTTGTGTGCTGATGTGGGGAAGGCAGGGAGGTGCGGGTGCTGCCTATATCGGGGGCAGGGAGTTTGCTGCAAAGGGAAAGAGCAGAGGATGTTGGGTAGAAGGTGGGAGACAGGGAAGCTGAGAACTGAAGGATGCAGAGCCATTCATGTGACATGAAGCTGTCGGCAGAGGGTACAGCGCATGCAGATGCCCCGAGGCCCTGACCTGGAGACCAGAGAATGAAGGGGGCATGACAGGGAGTCAGGACGGGGGGCACATCTGGGAGACTGGAAACCCCGAGAATAAACAGATAGGAGTCTGCCGAAATGAGATGACTCGAAGCAGCACAGGAGGCCAGGTCTTGGAGCTGCAACTGCTGAGCACTCCCTTCGGGTTTGTTACCTTGACTGCTTGTGGTCCAGTTCCAACAGGATTGAGCTTCCAAAAGTACTTTGTTTTTTGCATGAAGTGGGCTGAGGAAGGTAGAAAATGAGGTGGAGGCTGTGGGCCCAAGAAGCTCGTCCCAGGCACACCATGGAAGCTGTTTCCTGGAGACATTTGCAGTCGCAGAGGCGTTCGGCAAGCAGCCGGGTCGGAGATGATTAAGTCCTGTATGACTGAGCCCACAAGGGAGGACCGTCAAGCCAAGTGAGCAGTGTAGATTTTTGAAAGACCACGTTTGTATTGATTGAGAAGAAATGTTTGATGAAAGGCTTAGATGTTGAAAGCACGAGCTGTGTCCATGCTGCTGGGCGAGCCTGAAAGAGTAGTTGTCTGCCTGGGCACACCCGAAAGCGGCGACACATGCCGTCAGCAAATGCTTGGTGTGACCCCTCCTCACGAGTCCACTAGGCAAGTCTTACACCCATTTTACAGATGGGGTGCCCAAGGGCTAGGAGAAAATAAGTGACTCTTCCCAGGCTGCAAAGGGGGGAGTTGGGATTGGTGACTCGCAAGTCCACTTTGGGGCTGCTGCACCCTTCTAGAGGTGGACACTGCCAGTGCCTGCGGCCCAGGCCATGCTCGGAGGGACCTCTCCCTGGGCCCTTCCTGTCCCACACCTAGACCAAAGCCCCAGGCTTCACTCCAGGAGGAGAGGGAGTGGGTCTGGGATTCCTCGGGAGTGTGTTTAATCTCAGGTCTTCAAAGGGAAGTCCTGAGAACAACGGAAGAAACCTTAGTGTACCCTGGAGGCCAGGCCTGCTTTTGTCATGTTTTTCCAAACTGCTCCATAATTTCCCACAGAGCTTTTTTATCCCCACATTACTCCAGGGGTGTGTTTATAGGGCACACACATGCCAGGTGCTGCCCTGGGCAGGATACAAAGATGAGTGGGCTGTGTCCCTGACCTCAAGGCTCTCACAGATAGAGGAGTTGGAAATATGCAGCCTTCTGAAAACACACCATAATAAAAGAAAATAATCGTTGAGATCCAAACCAAGTGTTATGGAAATGGAGAGCTGGATTCCTTAGTTCTTGGAGTACTGGGGACAGAGGGGGAGTTTTCCAGCAGAGGTGATGTTTAAGCTGGCATGGAAGCAACCAGTGCGGAGCTCGGGCGGTGGGAGATGGGAGATGGCCAAAGTACACAGTGTATTTTGGGAACACCTAGGAGCGGGCAAGTACGGTTTGATGGTGGGAAAGGGCCTGGGGTGTAGGGGAGTTCAGGGAGGGACCAAATTGCCATCTACTGGTGAGGAGGCATTTCATGCCTGCTAAGGCTTTCTTGAGCTGCAGGGACCATTTCAAAGAGCCAAGAACGTACTGTGCATATTAACTTGTTATGAAATGTGCCTCCTAATGGACCAGCTGCCCCCATGCTGCCCACATGTTTGTGAGAAAGAAATAATTATGCAAATTCACCGTGGAGAAGTACACAGAGGGCCGAGGCAAGGTCCGATGTCTACCAGTGCTAGACAGGGTGGACTGGACAGTGTCATGCTTGCTCAGGGGTGTGCTCTCAAATTCGGTGGGAGAGCATTTGAAAAGTATGTACCATTCTCTCCCTGTGGTCTGGGTTGTTGCCACTTGCATTTGGAGAGCTCAGTGAGAGGTGGCTGCACCTGGAATCCACCTGGAAGGTCACCTGTCAACCCCTGCTTGTCTCCTGCATCTGGGAACAGGCCAGTATGGTGCTGATGGTGGAAAGTTTCCAGGGCAATTTGTGAGATTCTTGATCACCTCGAAAACAACATAGCAGTGGGATGAGCACAGAATTTGGGGTCAGAGGCC